CTTAGCCAAGGAAGTCAGCGATGCCCACGGGCCTGGCCCTGCCCCTGCCCCTGCCCTGCTCCCTCTCTTGGGCTCGGCTCTCCAGTTCATGCTCCCTCTCCCCTCGGCCTGTGCGCTCCTGCCCCCTGGTGGGAGCCGGGACAACTACAATGCATGGGGCAGGGCGAGGCCAGATGGAGGCAACTGGAGAACTGGGGTGTGTGTGTGTGTGTGTGTGTGTGTGGAATGGAGAACTGGGGTGTGTGTGTGTGTGTGTGCGTGCGCGCGCGCGCACGCGCGCACACACACTCACACTTCACTTGGCCTAAAAGATTAAAGACAGAGGAAAACTGAAAGATCCAAAGCAGCTCCTCAAATGGAAGGGGTTATTATTATAATTACTGTGATTATTGTTATCAAGATTATCATGCTTGCCTGAAGTCTCGTACAAAGCAGGCTTATTTTATGTCAGCTCGTTGTTTGTGTCTGAGGGACTTCATCTTTGCGTATAATAACTAACATTTGCAGGGCTCTTTATGTTGCAAAGCTCTGTCACATCCTTAGCCTATTTCATCTGCACAAACAACCATGGGAGGTGGAAACTAATGAGACTGGAGGCTCAGAGAGGTTAAACGGTCTGTCCAAGGTCACGCGACTAAAAGGCTGCAGAGCCCGGATTTGAACCTGGGTCACCTGACCGATAATTCCTATTCACTTCCCCACCATAGTTGTTGCATCTCATCTCTTGGGAAGGAAAAGGCTCTTTGTTACACTTTAGCTCCAAGCCTCTTTGCACAGTTTATTGAAAAGTCCACGTTGCATTGCCCTGAAGAGGCAGGAAGCATTGCGAAGACCCAAGCGCTGTAAGTGGTGTTAGCCTTCCCAGTCTCAGACGATGAGGACACCTGGGCCCCTTCTGAATGGAAACATGTGGCGGTCATGGCCAGTGGCTCGGTGAGGCTGATGCCAGCTTCCCTCAGTCACCACTTACCGCCCCCCACCACGCCCTCCGGTGTGGCACGGCACAAACAGGCACCAGCCCCATCTCTGGGGAGGATGAGCGGGAGATGCTAGGGCAGGGGGGCAAGACCCTGCCTGAGCCCTGGGAGCCCGCACCCCTCCTCATGGTATGGGTTCTGATTCCCAGGGCCAAATGGCTGACTAGGGACAGTTGTCTGGAAGCCAGATCCCTCACCCCAACGTGCCAGTGGGCAGTCCCACTGACTCACCTGGGTCTCAGGTGCTGCTTCCCAGGCACACTCATGACCAGTCCCCAGCAGAGCATGTCCTTGTGGCAGGAAGCCCCGTATACCACGGTCGGGGACCATTCCAGGGGCGCAGCTACCCCCACCGCCACCCTGGGCTCCCCGCTCCCCAGCAGTGGCCCAATGCAGCCATTTCGGGGAGGCACCCTGTGCTGAGCTCCGTACCCCACTGAACACGGGCTGCCCAGGGCCCTGTCTCCACATGCTCCCCGACTGCCCTTCCTCTCCGCTCCGCGCCACCCACCCCCACCTCCAGATGCTCAAGGAGACAGTGCAGAGGCTTTCATCAGGGGCTCTCACCTCCACCTCGAGCAGCTTCAGGCCACTTATGTGTCAGTGCTATGAATAAGATACCATTGAGCCAGAAGGGTTATATCGGCTGCAATGTAAAGAAACGTCCATGCTGTTTTTAAGTCATCAGTGTGGTAAAAAGAATCCTGCAGGTGTCTTTGAGAAGTCACAACCTCTCCAGAGCCTCCTGACCCTAACCCCATAAGACTGGCGTGTCGTCTGCAGCTCACCCTCAGAAATGCACAGTCTGGCCAATGCCCCAAAAGGTACCCCACACACAGCCCCCAGCATCTCCAGGGCAGACAGGTTGGCCTCCTGGTCCAGCCTTCTCCAAGCTATATGAGATTCACAAATTCCGGGTCCTACATGGAGGAACAAACAAGTACTAGGTGGCTTTCCGGAGGTTTATAAAGCACACGGTAGCTTCACGGTGAGGTGTCACCGTGCTCTGGGCACTCAGATTGGAGTGTGTCTCTCACCCAGCAGGAAGTCGCCTGTCCTGGCCACCCCTCAGGCCATGACTCAGTTCTCACAGATCTGGCAGAAACCGTGGCATGGGGCCCGGAGGAGAAGTTTGGGAATGTACCGCCAGACTCACTGGGCGCACCCCGCAGATGGGCAGGCACGCTGAGAGCCCGGAAAGGACAGGGACTTCCCCAGGTCACCCAGGCACTGGGGAGCAGCAGAGCGTGCAGGCCCCTGACTCATAGGCCTCTGTGCTGTTTTTGGCCCCAGGTGGAGGCATCACCCCTGCCTCCCTGAGTCACCACCTGCCTAGGGCACCCAAGGCCCAGCGCCCAGGGCCAGCTGTCTGAGTCGATGCCCCAGGGGAGGTTCAGGTGCTGAAGATACTCATCTCCAACCTAGGAACCTGGGAGGCCAGGGTCTCTCGGTGGGCAGCCCAGGGATTCGGGAATCCAAGGACTGGGGTCTTGGGGACACGGTCCCTAGGAAACTAGATCTGGGCTTGCATTGTGGGCTTGGCCTTTTCACCAAGTTGTAGCTTCCTCCCCAGGGTAGGTGTGTGGGGGGAGGGGACACAGCTGCCAGAACTTTCCCATTGACCTTCTGCAGTAGACGGGCTCCGATACACAAATAGCTACTTAGCAGCACAGTTCCATTCTGGAAAACTCTCCACAGAAGGCTGTGGCCCCCACATACCTTTTGTACAGAATCTTTTGTCAGCCACAAATCTTGCAGGTGCCGACCTCATTTCCTTTGTGTCTCTCCCATCCCCAAAGCACACCCGGAAATGTCCACAGCTTCCTGCTCCCTTCCCGAGCCACACGCCACAGGCTGTGGAGTCTGGCTCATTCGGAGGCCAGGAGGTTGACAGGGCTTGAGAGCAGAGTAATCGTCCAGTAGTGATGATCATGCCCATGAATTAAAGCCCCCGAGTCCGGAGGGCCCGTGAGGTTAGGGAGATGGTGGGCCTGTCACATCCCACCCCCAGCCACTCCCGAGGGCCCTGTCTCACCGCAGGCTTCAGCCATGTGGCAGAGGTGTTCTCCAGGGCCTGCAGGGGTATTACAGGCCAGAGGGGCCCCGTGGGTGGCGGTCTCCTTGCTTTTGGTCAGGAGATTGTTCTGAGCAAGACCTCATCACCGGACGAATTGTGTGCAGACAGCGGACAGGGTTCGTCCGGGGCCTGGGCACAGGCAGGCACCTCGTCCTTGTCTGGATTCTTCTAGAAGCCAACCCCGAGACAAAGAGTATATTTGGGAGGTCATTTCAGGAATCACTGAGGAAGAGGGGAAGTGACGCAGAGACGGGAGGAAATGGTAAACGGATAAAGGGTGCGGTGATGGGTGGGCTACAGCTTTGGGCAGCTGGGGCGCTGGCCCCCTGGAGATTCTCTGGGAGATCTTGCGGACGCATCGCAGAATTATCTCCCTGTGAGGACGAAGCAGCCGGGGCATTAACCCACCAACTCCTGTCCGTCCAGGGCACTGACTCCCAACCCGTGCAGCCCGCCACACACCTAGGAGCAGAGGCAGGAAGCCAGCTCCCCTGCAGGAGCCCCCTCAAGGCAGCCTCGGGGGCAGGCCCAGGTGTGAATGGCGTTCCACAGCGGCCCCTGCTTCACGCTCACCCGCCCTGATCTCGACCGTGAATCAGCAGTCGTCTCAGACGGACCTTTCTGGGAATGCATGTCACCCCCGGTGTGGACCCCTCGCCGGGCTCGGCTCCATGCACCCCCCCCGCATGAGTGGGAGAGCCCCTGCACGTCTGCGGTGATGGCAGCGCAAGCAGGCAGGGCCTCTAAGAACTGCCGCATCTTTCCGTGGGCCGGAATGAGTGTCATGGCCACAGCCCTGGTCAAGGAGAGATGCAGTATATTCTGCCTGTAGGGGAAGAAATGCAAAGATACCGGGAAAAGGGCAAGGACCCAGGCCGGGCAGAGACTCAGGCCCACGGCGCAGGCTTCCGCAGACCCCTCACGGACGTGGCTATGAAACTCCAAGCAAGAAGTGTGCGTGCGCAAGAGCGCCCTTTGTTAACTGTCGAGTGCCATGCACGTGTGCACCGTGCTGGTGATGGCGAGGTCCTGTGACTTCAAGAGTCTTCAGGGGCCACCACGTTCCTGGTTTGGGGGTTCTGTGCGTTCAGTTAGTCTTTGAAGATGGATGACCCTGTTTGGTATCCAAGGTGAAGGGAAGCAGGCAGGTACCTGCTAATTACGGGGTCCTTCATGTGCAGTTCCAGTGGGGTCTCGGCCTCCACGTGGGTGCCGTAAGCAAGCCACACCCCCTCAGACAGCGGAGGAAGGGCACACTCCCTCCCTCGTCATTCGCCCCTTCACCCTCTCTTGTTGAACCTGCCCCCAGGGAAAGGCAGGCCACAGGTCAAGAGCAAATAAGTAACTAGAAATTAATAAAATTAAGTGTTTACTTGGGACCTCCAAGGGCCTGAGCTCTAGAGATTTGTCATTGACTTAAGGCGCTTCCACCGTGGGCACTGTGCGCCCACCCTCGGGGCACAGCTCCACCCGCCCTGTCCCTCTGCCACCTGAATTCTCAAATAGCCAGACGCCCTGTTCCAGGGGCCTCGCCCCACCTGGAGTGAGAAGTAAAGAAACTTAGGCATTAGCCAAGAACATTTTTTTTCCCCCAAACGAGTACTATGGTGAGCCCCAGCTTTCAAAATAGATGAAAACAGAGCTGCTCTGGTGGGCTGGAGGATGGGGCATGGAGCCCTGTCCCCTCCCCCCACCCGCAGGGGCCATGATCTGAAGCCGCTGCTTCAGAACCTCCTGGGATAGAAGACCCTGAAGGCTGGGACGGGGACAGGTGTCCCCACAGGGCCCTAGGAAACTAGGCTGCCGGTGCACACAGAGGCACCGGGCGTGCTCAGATAGAGGCCCGCTTCTCCTGGCTGGGCTCAGGACTGAGCATTGTCCTGGCACTCAGCCAGGGCTTCTGTCCCCACGGAGGCCTCAAAGCCACCCCCCGTCTCTCCTCGCAGGCCGACGCCAAGATGGTGTGTGACGTGGTGAGTCGGATGGAAGACACCGAGCCCTTCTCTCCAGAACTGCTTTCCGCCATGATGCGACTCTGGGGTGACTCAGGGATCCAGGAGTGCTTCAACCGGTCCCGGGAGTATCAGCTCAACGACTCTGCCAAATAGTGAGTGTCCCAGGCGGGAAAGGGGGCCACCCAGGGGACAGCAATGCAGGCGTGGGAGCGGGTGGGGCTCGTGGGCCGAAGTCTGTGCCACAGAGGAACCGGGAGGGGCTTCTCCTCCTGCCCCTGGGATGGGGAAGAGGCTGGGGCAGGGGCACAAGCGACACCAAGCAGCAAAACTCCCACAGGGACAGCAGGCCCCATCACCTGCTTGCGGAACCCCTGACCCCAGACATGCACATCAAGAACTATATAGGCAGAAATAACTTACATGGTGCCATTTGGGGGCGGGGCGGTTAGAGAAAATCAGCTTTCCATTCCTCTATCTTTAAAACTAAAAATAAGGAAAATGTAATTCGCCCAATAAACATAATAAATAGTCAAACATGTAGTTTGATACCGGCTCATAACGAAATAAGGGGAAGGCAGGGAGAGAGGGGAAGGAAGGGGGGAGGACAGGAGGGAATGGAGCAGCGGCAGGAGGCTCAGTAAAAGTCAGAGAAGGTGTTCGAAGGGATCGGGAAGGGACAGGCAGCAGAAGTGGCCTGTGGGACCCTTCCTGTGGCAGCAGGACCGCAGGACCGCCCACTGCAGCTTTGTCACTCCAGACATCTGATGACATCCTCACCGGGTACATGCCCTTGGCCCCCAGATCGGAGGCTCCAGCCCCGCAGGATGTTTCGCGCTGGTCAGAGACATGTCTTCTGTCTTGGAGACACTGGGATTAACCCTAGCTTTCAGGAAACGCACCCCACTTTTGCAATCTGGTGCCAATTTTTCAGCGGGAGCCTCTTGGGACACTTGCGCTCCGACCTGGATCTGATTGAGCCATCCTCGCCGGAGCGTCTCACCCAGGGCCCCTCTGTCCCCAGGAGACATCTGGCAATGTCTGGAGATGTTTTTGATCGTCATAATCAGGATGGTGCTATTGTCATTTTGAGGTGGAGCCCAAGGATGCTGCTAAGTGCCCTACAGTGCACAGGACAGTGGACAGTCCTGCGTGACATCTGGCCGCAGAAGTCAGTAGTGCCAAGATTAAGAACCCCTGGTCCACACAATGCTGACCTTATGTTCAGTAGGGGACATTGGGACAGTTCCATTGCCCGTGACGGCAGCTAACAAACGAGGGAGTTGAGTAAGGCCAGAGCGCCTTCGCATCTGCATACCTAGATTGTCCACCAGTGCCTAGGTCCTGTGAGTCCCAGGCCCTGACAAACCCTGAGGGACACCTTGATAGGCAGGGGTTCGTGTCCACGGCTCCCCATGCACACTCAAATGACAGACCTCAGCCCAGGTCCCAGTCAGGCCTGAGAGAGTCCCTTGTTCCTTCTCCCCCCCCCCGCCCCCCGCTGGAATCCCCCCCCACCCCGACACTGCACTCCGGGGCCCCTCAGGGCCAGCTGGCCCAAGTCTTTCTTCTTGTGTCCCTTCAATTTGTTCTCTCCACTTACATTTTTACCCATTTCACTAACTATAACATGAATCCATTGCAAAAAAAGACTATTTTTTAATAATACAGAAAAATACAATATTAATAGTAAACTTCCTCTCTCAGGAGCGACCCTTCCCACTTTTAACTATTTCCATTTATTTGTCCCAGCAGCGTCCGGAAAAAGCCGACCCTCCAACTGTAAATAGTATTTACCGACCTCGTGCTGTGGCACTTGGGGGACCCTTCTCTCCTTCCTTCTTCCTTCCTTCCCCCTCTCTCCCCGATTCCCCTCCCTCTTCTTTGCTAGTTACAGGATTATTTTTCATTCTTCCAAGGGCCACTTTCTCTCGTCCGTTTCACCTCCCCGTTTTCCACGGCCAAGGTTACGACGTGGGCATTCCGCTGTCACCCACGGCTAGGCCTTCTGTGTTCCGTCTCTGGGACGGGGTTCTACAGCAGGCCGGGGAGGGACCCCCACCGGCAGTCGGGCTCGGAAGGACCTTAAACACGTTCCGGTCCAGGGTGTCTTCATCGTCGTGTTAGCAACTAAATCTCATCTTCCAACAAAATCTTGGGCCCAACGTAGAAATCAGTTGAAAATAGATTTGTGGTAACGGAAGGGCGAGGGAGGCCTACAAGGCCTGTGTTGCAGTTCCCGGGGGCGCCACTTACACCCGAGACTGTGGGAATGGCTCCCCGAGGCCCAGAGCCCCTGTCACCGTGCCCAGCCCCAGGGGGCCAGACAGGAGGGCGCCAGGGCTCAGAGGGGACGGGAAGAGGCCCACGGCTGCCAGGTTCCCGGGCGGGCCCTCACCCTCTCTGCACACGGCTGGTATCTCTCCTCTCCCCTCTGCATGGGGTCCCCGGAACCCAGAAACCTGAGCACGCCCAAGCAGGGGCGGTAAAGGGAAGTTCTGTGGGTCCGTGAGTATGGCTTTTCCAAAGCCAGTTCCCCAGCGAACGTCCTCGGGCTTTCTGTCAATGCGTCCCCTCTCGCAGCAGCTTGGCCCTCCTCCTGGTGCCACCGCTTGGCTCCTGGGCCCTGCCCTTCCCCAGCCGCCCTTCCTCAGACCCCCGCGCCGCTGTCCCCCATCTGGAGGCCTGCAAGCCTGTTTAAAAGCACGGACTGGAGTCAGGCAGACTCGGGCACAACTCCCAGCCGTGTCCCCGTCCTGGCAGTGCGACCCCGCACGTCCCCTCCCTGGGGTGGGGAGCCCACCTTTCAGTTTTATTTCCTGGGCGAACATTCTCACGAAGACTTGAGGAAGGCCCGGGTGGTCAGTTCACTGGTGGACCCCTGATGGGGAAAGGTGTCCGCCCTTCCTAGCCCCATGGACGTCCCCAAGCTGGGGGGCTGGCCCTAGCACGTCCCGGGGCTGAGTGCTGAGGAGATGCTGCCCCTCCACATGCAACTGGAACCCCACATCGTCCCATGCCTCAGACACTCGGGGCTCCTTCCCTGTGGGCTGCGTGCAGCTCCCACCCTGAGGCACGAGGAATCGGGACCTGGCCCGGGCCAGGGGGGTCACTGAATCTTCCTGCAGACCTGTCCCCGCTCCTTCCTTCCTGATTTCCTGGGTCCCTCCCTGGCTTTGGGTTCAAACCTAACCCATACAGACCCCAAAGCCCTTCCATGTGCTGGGCCTGGGTGGGTGAGGTACAAAGGCCTGGTCTGTCTCCAGAAGTGGTGGCCTAGGAAGAGAACCCTGATGCCAAAGGCAGGCCCAGCCACTGTCCGGCTGTGTGACCTCTGAGCCTCCTTTCCAAGGGCACCAAATGGGAAGAGGCTCACAGACCCCTTGGTAAACTGTCAAGGAGAGTGGTAAGGGTGGGCAGATGCCCAAGGGGGCCTCTCAGAAGTCCCTTTGAGACTGGTCAGAGTGCGGACTCTGGGGCCAGATGTCCAGGTTCGAGCCCCAGCTCACAGCTGGACAAGGTACTGACTGTCACTGACCGTGTTTTCTGATCTATAGAATAGTACATTTAACTCGGAAATTAAGCATGAAATATGGTCACACATATAAGGAATTAGAACCTAACCGTTGGCCATTACTGTTTCAAGATGAAGAAATGACAAAGCAGCGTTTTAAACGTGTCGGTCTCATTGAAAAGTTTGATCTTGTCGAAGTGTACCTGGCACTGTGTGCAGAGCCCCTTGTGCTCTGGATTAGAAGCCAAGACATGAGGTCCTCCCCATCCTTGGTCGCCACTCCCATCCCTCTGCCCCACCTGGCCTCGGACAAAGTGGTGCCGTCATTTCCACAGTGACCCATGAGGGGCCCTGGCGGGGACTGGGCTCTGAGAGGGGGTGGCCCAGCAAGCCCTGAGCAGCCCAGAGCTTGGTCCATGGTCCCCTGTGTGTTGCTGTCCCCAGCTACTTGGACAGCCTGGATCGAATCGGGGCCACCGACTACCAGCCCACTGAGCAGGATATCCTCCGAACCAGGGTCAAAACCACGGGCATCGTAGAAACCCACTTCACATTCAAGAACCTCCACTTCAGGTGAGGCCCGGGGGCTCCTGAGACCCAGCCAGGGCAGAGAGGTGGGCCAAGGTCTCAGCTTGTCTGGATATCACTCTGCCTCAGGAGCCCTTGTGTTGGGACAGGCAGCTCGATACGAGAAGGGACCTCTCAGTAGGTCTCTGTTCCATCAGGCTGAGCAGGGAGGCTTCCTGGAAGAGGGGTCCCGGAATGGGGCTCTGAGGAACGGGGTAGGGGAATTAATAGACAAAGGGGGGGAGCCTGCCCCTGGGTGGCATCTATGTGGGCACGCAGCTGTGTGCCCACAGAGTGTGCGAGTGACCTCTGAGAGGGGGGGAGGTGGCACAGAACAGAGGTCAGAGCTTCTTCTGCAGGCAGACCTGGGCGACACCCCAGCTCTGCACACCGGCTCTCGCCAGCCCCCTGGGTCCCCAAGCCCTGGGTGCTTTACTCATCCTCCATATAACAGGTGACAGTCCCTGCCTGCCTCCCTCCCAGGCTGGTTGGGACCTTGCTCAGAGCACAGACATGAACAGACATACTCGGAACGCCAGAGAATGGGAAATGCATGTTGCCCTGACAGCAGCACCTCACAGAGGTGTTTTTTGAGGGGCCAGCTGAGGTGCACTCCTCAGTAAAATTGTTGAGATGCAAGGGCAGGTCTTTGAATCACTATAAGCACAGCCCAGTCGAGGGATGGCAGTGATGGCTGTCCCCACCCCGAGGCTGGCAGCGTCCATCTGTCAGCACAGGCTCCTGGGAGGGGGGTGGGGGGCTCGGAGCAGGTGCCCAGCACCCTTCTCCTCCTGCCCCTTGACTTGACCAGGCACCCCCCACCTGCCTGGGCCCCACCACCCACCAGCCCAGCTTCCCTGTCTCCCTGGCAGGCTGTTCGACGTTGGGGGCCAACGATCTGAACGCAAGAAGTGGATCCACTGCTTCGAGGACGTCACGGCCATCATCTTCTGCGTCGCACTCAGCGGCTATGACCAGGTGCTCCACGAAGACGAGACCACGGTGAGTGGCCTGGGCCCGCCTGGCCTGCAGAGGCACTGAGTGGCCGGCCGCAGTCAGCCCACACGGCTCTGCGGTGGCCGGGGCTTCCGTCCCCGGGCAAATGCCCGGTGACGCCAGTGCAGAGCGGGCGGTCAGGGCCTGTGTGCAGACTGATCACGAGCACCCCCGCCCATACCGGGCCTCAGGCAGTGCACGCCGCTTCGGGAAACACGGCAGAGTCACAGAGGCCGCCAGCCCAGAGCCAAATCAAGCCAGTCCTAAAAGAAGTCAGGGTGCAGTCAAGCCACAATGAGCATGAGACAGAATGAGCAGCCCTTGGCCCTGACAGCCCTTCCCGAGCACAGCCAGTTGCGGCCGGGAGAGGTTCGGCTCGTGGCGGGGGCGGTGGGCCGCGGCTCCTCCAGGCCAGCCCAGGTTCCGCCTGGACATGCGTCGCGTTAGGTCTGTGGCCTTGGGGAGGGGCGGTCCCCCAGGGGGCCTGCATCTGTCCGGGCCTAGCCCTGCTGTGCTGCCGGCTCCAGGCAGCAGCCTCTCCGCCTCCGATGCTGTTGTCTGTCGAAGGGGAGTGACCGTAGTTCCTCCTTGCGGGGCCATTGGCAATGGAGGAGAGAGTCCGCGTGAGGGGCCTGGAACCGTTCCTGGCACCGTGGCGCCGCGTTGGTGGTTGTACTGTCACTGACGATTGTCCTGAGCCGGGGAGGCGGCGGGGGGTGTCCACTGAGAGTCCCCACAGCATTGTAGAGGGGTGGCCTGTCTGCAGAGCCTGCCAGGGAAGCCGGGCGTTGGTATGCTACACCCACGGGGTCTCCAAAGACACGCCCACAGCGCCTCCTGGGGCGGGGCTCCTGGCTGTGGATCTCGCCCTTGGCGTCGGTCAGCTCCTCTGTCTGCAGCATGCACAGGCCCTTGGCCGCAGCCTCTGAGCCAGCACCAAGGTGTGAGGCCCGTGGTCCTGGTGGGCCTTGGGCGTGGCCCGTCTTCTCTCTGGGTCTGTTTCCCTATCAGTCCCACCGGCCAGTCCTACAGGCTGCTGTGAAGATCCGATGGGCTTTGGGGTGTGGGCTTTGGGGTGCCGCGCTATGGGGAGCAGGAGCCGCCGTCCTGGGGGACTCACGTGGCGATGGGGCTTTTAGCAGATTGGCACCGAAGCCGCTGGGTAGGTGGGTGACCCGGACTCGAGCCACCGCTGGCTTATCCACTGTGCCCTTGCTCTCTCGGGCCCAGCTGCGTCTCTGAGCTGGGGTTCAGCAAAGCCCCCCAAGCCCTGCCTTGTCCTGCAGGAGGCTCCCAGGTCCTCGACTGTGCCGCTCTTTCTGGTAACACTCATCATTCTCAGTGGCCTTGGTGGGCTGTGGCATCTAAGGTCACCAGAGCTGAGGGTGGGCCAGGGGTAGACGCACACCCTGATCTGTGTTTGGACCCGACTCCCTGACCACGCCAAAGCCCAGGGCAGTTCTGGCTGCCCCCACAATCCTCCGCGCACAGGTCCTGCCCTGTCTGTCACCATTCCACTGGCCGACTGCTTTTCAAGGCACCGTTCACGGTCTGATTGGCCACCCTGAGGTCTGAGCCCCATGTGGCGCCTCTCCCCACTGTAACGTAACGCCGGGGAGTGGGAAGCGGGGCCAGCGTGGTGGGTGCAATGCTGATCCAGCTGTGGGTTTCGAAGAAAACAAGCGGGCCTCTCCCCTGAGACCTGCCTTGCCGGGCCTGCAGACAGCTCGAACCTGAGACCCAGGCCCGTCAGCATGGGGCAGGGACTCTCGCTCACCTCTGCAGCCCAGAGTGAAAGCAGAGGGTCGTCTGGGTGCATCTGGCAGCCACAGGGCCCAAGCTCCACGGCCCACAAGTTCCCGCTAAACATGGGGCTGGGCAGTGCCCGGCCTCAGGCTCAGGTGGCCAACCCCGTCTGCCCGGCCAGCCCTCTGCGAACGCCTCACCTGCCCTGCTGCCGAGCACGCTTCCCCCCCTTCTCCGCCCTCCTGCCTTCACTGCTCCTCTCCCACCCTTTCCTTCCCCCACCGCCCACCCCACCTCCCCGCCCTTCTCCACGGGGGCTGGAGCAGAGGACCTCGGGGAAGCCAAGGCGCGTGGGCCCAGCCCAGGACAGGCTCTTCCCGGGGCTCTTTCCTCCTCAAAGCAGACCAGCCACCCCCCCAGGGGACGGGAATGGGCTTCAGACCCTGACACCAGCCCACGAAGGTGGCCTGTTGCTGGTGGCATCAAGAGCAACACCGTTGCCACAGACCTAAGCCGACGACTGCGTCCGGGACACGGGGCAGCACGGGGCAGCTGGGGACAGAGCTGACCCAGGGTCCAGCGCTGGCCCTGCCACTGTGTGACTACGGCACCTGCTCCACTCCCTCCTCCTTAAAATGGCCTTGGTGCTGAGGACACAGCCTCAAGGGGCTCGGAGCTGTCACAGCACCTGCTCCAGACCCCACTCCATAAATGGCACTTGTCAGGATCCTCTGTCCGGGCACATGGCTAAAGGACAAGTTGTAGGCGATGGACACTCTGCCCCTGGGAGCAAAATCTCGACCCTGCTGACCAGCCGTTGGTCCTCAGCCTTCCTCTCCAGTCAGCCCTGTGTGTTCCTCCCTGGCCTGGGGTGAGAGTTGGTGACATCCAAGACAAACGCGTGGAGTTCGGCCAGGAGCCCTGGGGCTGGTAGCTGCCCTCACATTGGCCGGCCGCCCTGTCCACTGCACCCCGGCACCCCGGGCCTCATCCTGCCCTCAAGCCTCGGGCCTGTGGCCCCAACGGCACTGGGCCTCAGCCTGCCACGACTTCACCGCCACCGTCACCACCGCCTACAGGGCCTTAACTTGCCAAAGCAAGGACAAAACCATGAGCGGATTCTGAGGGATCCTCCAAGCCAGGCAGGTATGCAGCACCTCCCTCCAACCGAAACCGAAACCGTCAGCTAAGAGTTGAAAGCAGCAAGTTCTCGGGGCACCGCTGGTGACTTTGCTGTGACGCCTGTCCCCACCCACTCCCGCCTCTCACACTCCTGCCAGCCGCCAGGCTCGGGCTGGCCCTGTCCACCCTCACCTTCCATCTCCAGCCACCCAGTTGGCAGTCTCGGGGCAGCTGCGGCCTCTGTGAGCCTGCACAGGGGCCTCGGGAAGGGCCGGCCTTGACTTCCTGGCCCCGAGACTGGGTGAACCAATTTTTCGGGTTTTTTTCCTCTTTCTCTCATATTTCTCCTGGATTTTTATCTTCCTCTGTTTTAATCTATTTTGCTGGGTTTCATCTCGGGGTCCTCCCGGCCCCTCTACTGAGACACCAGCCCCAATAAGCGGCTCACCCAGAGCCACCACCCCCGCGCCCC